ATAATAAAACCGTTATACAAAAAGGGAGATAAAAGTGATATAATCAACTATCGACCCAGTGGCGAAGCTAGGGCTCTAAACTAGGGCAAGCCCAAGATATGGTTTTGTTATGTTTTTAGCAGTTTTATAAAAATACACCAATCTTAATCTGTCTCCACTCTACAGTTTCATATTCAGTGCTGTCAAGAACGTGTTTAACAAAGCACACAGATGGCATACTACTGCTAGATAGATTGTATGATATATCAGCAATTGCATACCTTCGGTGGCTTTGAAAAAAACCGTTTGGGTTGGCTTGAGCGAAAGAAAAAGATATTTACATACAATACAATACATGAACAAAAGAAAAGCATGAACAAAGTACAAACAAACTATGTACAAAATAAAAACAAAAATTATTTATATTCTAAATAGAATAGTCTCTCTTCCTTAAGGAAAGATTTGTTTACGTACGCGTAAAATGTTGGTGAACTTTTATTTGTACCAATAACTGTTTATGTGGATATAGGCTGTTTTTTCATAACAAAGTTTAAAAATTTTACCTTTTCCTCACTGATTAGCATTTGAACACACTTCAATTCATCACAAGAAACACTATTATCCCCCATTTTCACTAAAAATCTTAAAAAAAACATAAATTTTCAACTCGCAATTTTCATTCGCTCAAGTAAACACACAGAGTAAACATTGAAATGTGAAATGAAGTTGCAAACGTATCGTCCGCGCGCCTCCGCGCTCGACAAACTTCACACCGAAAGCCCAGCTTATGAGTCCATACTAATTGTTATATAAACAATGGTAGTTATATTTCATTATAGAACATTTTGCCACAAGTTAGAAAGCGAGCGATCGTCTTCTCGAAAGCCAACAACAAAGAATCGTTCAACTCAACTCCTTTTTATGACAGCAGTATAGCGCAGTAAAGCAATCTGCCAAATGTTGACGTCACATAATAAGGCTACGAGGTCATGACCTGTGTAGAACAGAGGAGCGCACGGGAAATTTGATATAGTTTGAAACAGTTTACGAGTTATTTAGAGCTCCATAGAAGCCGAGAAGCCGGGCTTGCCTTGGCTTGGCTTCGCTTCGCTACTGTATCGACCAATTGCACTAGTCCCAGTCCTCTCAAAAATATTCGAAAATGTTATGCATAACCAACTTACTTCTCTTTAAATTTAATGTAATAAAACAAAATCAGCATGGTTTCTAAAAATAAATAAATCCACAGCACATGCTGCGATTACATTAGTGAAGGAAGTCTTGCAAAATCGAAGAAACTATACATCAGTACTATTTCTTGACATGTCTAAAGCCTTCGATCGCGTCTCACATGTTCAGTTACTTACCAAACTAGAGGCTAACTTATTAAAACAGACAGAAAAACAGACCAACAACATGCAAAAGGAAATAAAAAAAACATGTCAATGGCGCAACTGATTTTACTATGTCTTTTTTAATAGACAGCAATATGCTTCAAAATATAAAAATTACTCAGGAAAATTTTCTTGAAACTATTATAGACATATACCATGGTCAATTTAACATGCATTTATTAACAGCCGAACAACTTCGAGAAGAACTCCACATAATTTCTGGTCATTTAACAGAAGATATAACATTACCGATAGAAAATATACAACAAGAAGTTCATAAAATTTATAAACTACTTAAACTCAAAGCTAGAATGATGCAAAAATATCTTATATTCGAGGTAATATTTCCCCTTCTGAATAGAGACAAATACAGATTATACAAAATTATAACAATTCCATACCAGGTGAAAAATAATATAGAGATAAGCATTTTTCCAATTGCAGAATACACAGCAATTAGTTTACGAAAGGACATTTATTTAAAAATAAAAAACAAGGACTTATATTTATGTTTACATGAGAAGGATGTTTATTTGTGTCCTATTCGACAGCCCATTTACCATCTTTCAGAAGACAAGAATTTGTGTCAATTGGATCAAACAACAAGTAGATGCAGGATGTATAAGACAAATAAAAAAAAAATTATTTGCTCTGGTCGTGTACTAAGGGATGTTTGCTAAAAGGTCAAGATTGCCGAAAATCTAACGACATTCTTTATATAATAGATATAGTTTTAATAGTAATAAATAAATATATGACCGATTTATTGAAAGTTGGTACACATAATATTCTATCCTCTTATCAGTCGGGTTTCCGCCCTGGTCATTCTACTACTACTGCTCTTCTCAATGTGACGGAAGATATTCGAGAGGGGATGGAAAAATCAAAACTGACCGTCCTCATCTTAATTGATTTTTCTAACGCATTTAATTCTGTTGATCATTATATCTGGTTGGCCCTTTTTTCTGATTTGAATATCTCGGCTTCAGCTCAGGAATGGTTCTCATCATATCTTCGAGGGCGCCAATAGGCCGTGCGCACTGGACATATACTATCTAACTGGTGTAATGTGTCTACTGGCGTCCCTCAAGGCAGTATAGTATCTCCTCTTCTGTTTTTAATTTTTATCAGTCTCATCACATTAAATCTCAAGTGCTCTTACCATCTGTATGCTGATTATCTGCAGTTATATGTGCAAGTGGAACCCTCAAACATCTCTAATGCTATCTCATTATTAAATGATGACTTGATATACATCTCCGAATGGTCCACTGTGTATGGCATAAACGAGAACCCATCTAAGTGCCAAACAATAATCTTAGGTAGCCCACGATTATTATCGAAACTAGATATTCCCACCCTACCATCAATTATGTTTAAAAATAATGTCATACCATTCTCTCCCCATGTAAAGAACCTTGGTATATACGTTGATGGTTGCTTAACATGGAACAAACAAATACAGGAGGTGAGTCGCAAAACTACTGGAACTTTGCGATCTCTATATCGATTAAAAATTTTCTTCCCACCAATACTAAGATTTTACTTGTCCAGTCACTTATCCTACCGATTATTGATTATGTCGATGTGTGTTGCTCAGACCTGTCTCAACATCATCTTAATACATTGGATCGTGTATCTTCTTTTCGTGCTCAGATAAATTGGCTGCCTATCCGTCGGCGCAGATATGTCAGAATACTCTGCACCCTTTTCACAATTCTGAGCGATCCATATGCTCCCGAGTATCTGAAATACAAATTTCAATACCTGGGAGATTCTCATAATCGTTCTCTCCGTTCTTCGGCTAATCTTAAGTTGCTTACTCCTTTACACGGTACTGTTTATTATAGCTTCCAACTAGTTTTTTTTTTAAATCAAGTCCGTAAGCATGTGAAAAAATTGTTGCAAGTTTGATCTAACACAGCTCTTATTTTCATACACATATTTATATTTCATATTTGTTCTGACATAGGTAATATTTATATGTATAGTGTATATATGTAGTGTATGCATGTACATGTGTATGTATGTATTTATAAATGTATATATTGTGTGTATTTCAGTATATATGTCTGTTCGCGCCAAACGCTAATTTTGAGAATTGACGCCAGAGGGCGCTCGGCGCGGTGCATTCGTACCGGTTTGACGTCTGAAGTAATTACCAGTGCATTGAACGCCGCGGCATCGTCGACTAGTGTGTTGTTTGCGACCGTAAGTGGGTCGGGTGCGGCGGGTGTCCATTTTGTACGCGTCGTCTGAATTCGCTATAGAATATTTAGGTCCAGTTGGGATCGCCTCGAATTGAATGTCTGTTTTGAGTGTTACGTGACAAGAGGCCTAATTTGAGTTTTGAGTGATTAAATTAACTGATTGCCAATAATTGTTGCGCAACGGACGGCGTGTATTGAGTTTGAATTATTAACTTACCTTTGTTTGCAAGTAATTTACGTCAATTTGTATAGTGATTGCATTTGAAGCGCATTTATAGTGATTGCATTTTGAAGTGCATTTGACAATATTAATTTTGCTCGTGGGGCATTTGATATAGTTCGGAGACATTTTCCTTTGTCGGTTAAAACGCTGAACCTTGTGACTCGAGAAGTGATCACGTTCTTACGTGTGGTTAGAATTTTGTTGCTAAGTGAAAATGGAAATTGAACTTTGATCACCCGTTCATTAGTTGTGCCGTGTGTCACGTGTTTAATTTCGATGAACGTTGAATTGGTCGACTTCGAAGCTAATTATATGTACAATAAAGTTGATAGACTGAAATCGTGAAGTGACGTCAGATTTCAGTTCAGATAAAGTGAACTATCACTGGAGGATTGCACATTTGGAGAAACGCAGCGCCGGCGGATCTGTGGTTCGACTTCAACGGTTAAGTCAGGTCCCACATTGTACACACTGCCATACACTACTCACATGCACCTCACTTATCACCTGACTGGTACTATGTGGTCAACCCTACCTCCTGAAATAGGTAAGTGCTTGCTTATTTGTCAGCCGTTTTTGAACATTTATCCATAGGCCGTTGGGCCCCGTCCTCTGTTGCCCGTCGATGGGATTACTCATGGGCCCTAGTCCAGTCAACCTTTGTCAGGGCAACTCAGGGCGTGAACAATGTCTATGTATGTGCGTGTTTATGTATATTCATATGTATATACAATTTTTTTATCGCTTTCTATTTTGATTACTGCTGCACCGCCTCTTGTTTGTATATCTCTGTTTAGCCTAATGGTTGATTGGGAGAGAATGCCCTATGGCATTAAGTCCGCCATATGTACAGCTTTGTGCATGAAAGATTAAATAAATAAATAAATAAAATAAAATCAATTATAATGCTGTGTTTCGTATGGTGAGTGTAGGGAAGACCGAAGACCGTTTTTATTGGTAATGCATTCCATCTTAGTCTTCAGGGGTGACAATTCGCATTTTGATTTTTAATCGAGGATAGATGAAGATGATGTGTGAGGTCCACAGCATCCACTTACCGTCAGGTGTGTGCTTGTTTGTCACGCTTATTCTGTATTAAAAAATCTATTTTTATTTTAAATTAAATTGCTGTATTAATATCTACTAAGGTATTAAAATTATTGATAAGAACTAATTTCAAAAATATATGTTTACCGTTTCGCCCCAATCCTGATTCGGATCCCAAACTTGATTAGGGTCCCAAACGGGGATTGGTTCTGCATTATAGGCGGCGTTGACATACGCTCCGTCTGGATTGTACCCTGCAAACAAATTTATTAGTGGTAAATTAAAAAAAAAATTGTACTACCGACTTCAATATAAATAAAATGGGAACATCATCAACATCATAATTTTTACGTGGTAGAGCCATGCTGCAGCTATTTTAGTAGTATAGTTGTAGCACGAATGGGTCGGCTCGACCGGGGAAGGACCATGCTCTCACAGAATACCAACGTAAAACGGCAGCTAAATGCTGCTGTGTTTCATATGGTGAGTGTAGAGAACCGGAGACCCTTTTAACTGGAAACGAGGCATTCCATATAATTCCTCAAGGGGTGACAACACATCTCCATTTTGATTCTTAATCGAGAATAAATATAGATGCCTACGGGCCACAGCATCCACTTACCATCAGGTGGATTACATGCTCGTATGTCACCTTTATTCTATAAAAAAAATTGGATTCTCCCGCGTTGAAGGGAGGATTTGCCATAATCGCCACGCGTGGCATGCGGGTTAAGGATGGCAGTTCCAAACGTGAGCACTTTTGACGCTGCTGCCCGTCGCTGGTTTGAATGTTTTGCGTCTAGCGTAAACGAGGTTATATAACGACATCTATGGGAGTCCATAAAATCTTTTTAAAGTTTAAAAGTTAAAGTTACAGCCTATATACGTCCTATTGAGGGATTTGGAGAAAGGAAATGTCCGCCGCACTGCCCCAAATGTGTGTTTACGAATTCCACATGTCTTCCAAATATTTTTTCTTATATTTCTCACGATGTTTTGCATACATCGCCGAGTACGCGGTAAACCGGCACTTGAAATTGCAATTAACAATTTCATTCTTTCTTTTAAACATATCCTAAATCTATGCTTGTTACGACTCCCTCGGGATAAAATTTAAACGCCGCCATCACGAGGTGTATCATTTATATAATATTCGAAAGAGACAGCATCCTTACGAATAATCAGGTAAAATAACAATGTAATTAAGAGATTTCATTCCAGTCTAATGATTTCTTATATTTACGCGAATACCTCACATTGAATAAAAATATTTTATAGATTTTATGGTGTTTAGTTATTTATTTTTAATTCCCGAAGTTTTGGGTGTTTTACAGCACCCATGATCCAGTCAATATTAACGAAAACTTAAAATTATTTTTTGTTGTAATATTCTCGACTTGCTTTAGACAGAAAGGGAAATAATAAAATATAAGCAAATAATAATATATAATATAAAAATATAACAGGTATACTAATTTTGTAACTAACCAGTGTTTTCCATTGGAGTTTCTTTGGTCTGTCCGTCCATCTGTGTGTACTGTCCCTCTGCGCTAGCGGCTGCTTCGGGCGGCTGGCCCCCCGTACTCCTATATAAAATACAAATGTACAATTTTATATGTTGCATGAAAGCCATGATATTGACATGTGCTTTACTATGGATAGCGCAGGAATTGACAAACATCCCGTTCCCAAGTATCAGATGTTTAGTCCGATTTTTTTATTCAGATTTTTAAACCCTCTGGTCACATTATTCGAATATCCGATTGAGTCCGAAGCCATTTATATAATTAATAAATAAAATTTGCTGATAAAGAAAACTTTTAGTGATTTTTAAGCAACTTTTGTGACGAAAACCGGCCGCCGAGATGTGGAAGGCACCTGGACAGTGGTGTTAGACTAGTGTGAACAGTGCCGTTGCTATCGCTACAAAAGTCCCTAAAAGTCACTAAAGGTTTTCTTTATCAGCAAATATTATTAAAATGGCTTCTTCTTATATGCAAGCGTGTTCCAACACGGTTTTTCGTAGGGCATGCTGTGACGCCATCACACACGATCATTCAATAATTTTCGGCGCAGTGATTTAATGAAAAAAAAAAAAACACTTAACAAAAAAGTAAAAGCCGACTTTAAATAACTAAAAGTTATATAATAATTTCACATTGTAACGTTGGTACTAAGCTATAGCGTATAGAAAAATTTAAGCGCCGACTATGGAATATCAATGACGCTTAAATGTAACCAACATTAAAAACTTCTTCCCCTATTATGCCACACAGGCGTGTAATTTTTTCTTCAAAGTTATATGGAATACTCCTAAAGTATAACCTATTTAATAAAACAATTTTCAATATTGGTTTACAATTACTTTTGAATACTTTACAGCACCCAAAATATTTGGAATATAAAATAAGTTAATAAAACGCTATAAAATCCGTAAAACTACTTTCGAGTACTTTACAACGCCCGAAATGTATAGAATATAAAATAATTTAATAAAATTCGTTAAACTAGTTTCGTTATTTATAACAGATCTTATTTATACGGATTTCATACGTAAAATTGGTGCAATTTGTGAACTATTAGTGCAAATGATGAAACAAGCTTCGTTGGTGATGTAAACTTCAAGATAACAAAATTCATCAAATGATGTCATGTTGGCTGAAATTGCCGTTAAAATCTTCGCAAAAACTTCTCGATGTGAATCATCAACAAATTGTGAAGAAGTTTCTAAGAAAAATATTATAAAGGATAATTTCATTATAATAAATTCATAATAACTTAACACTGACATAATAGTAGTGTCGGTGTAAGACATTACATTACTCCATATCGTCCCGTGGGTGTCGTAAAAAACCTGCGGTTGCCAGTCCGCTTACGAAGCGTGGCAACTTTGGTAAATGTACCCCCTATGAGGCAATCTAAGGGGGAGACCTATGTTCATCCGTGACTTTTGACAGGCTGTAACGTATCCATCCGTCCATCCCATCCTATAAAAGTCCACTGTTGAACATAGATTGCATTCCGTAGATTGCCTTATCGGGAGGATTTTGCCATAGCTGCCACGCTTGGTAAGGGGGTTGGCAACCGCAGTTTTTATTAAATTGAGTTGTTATGACCAGAAAGATGCTGCTGGCCATCTTCGGTTTTAATTTCCCTTTGTCGCCTGTTACGACACCCGCGGGACGAAATGAGGTAGTGGATATTTTTGCACCGCCACTACATTATACATTGGCAAAAGTGCAACCGTGCGAGTCCATCAGCAAAGAGAGAAAGAGTACCTGTATGTGACAAGCGCGGCTTGTTCCTCGCGCGTGGGCAGCTTGAAGGGTAGTGGCAGCGTCAGCGCCCAGCGCTCCAGCTGCGAGTTGAAGTGCAGCGCCACGCAGTACACGCCATACATTATCAGCATGAACAGCGCTTCAGGCCTGCATACACCCACAACAAACAGTACATAATCATTACACGCGGGACTCCAGATCACACAGAATTTCAAAGTCAGGACCTCGATATCATCAGGTAAAGCTGCAGCTATATTATGATTATAGCAAGAATGAGTCGACTCGACCGAGGAAGAACCACACACTCACAGAATACCAGCGTCATTGAGTTATATGTACTACGTACTAGAGAAGCTATTCCAAACAAAAATTGTGCGCTACTCTATGTCTTCGCGCATGCGCGGGAGATAGTAGAGTCGCGCATGCGCGAAGACTTTAATTTAATACAAAATAAGATATTAATATAAAATAAATATTAATTTAATATAAAATACTCTTATTTTAATCTAAAGAAACATATTTCTAAAAATTATGTAATAATAATTATCTTATTGATTTCACAAATCTTCAATTTACGCAATATTTAGTTTAGTGTACGGATTACAGTACAGTTGAACATAGTCAATGTTCGGAATGCGAAATCTAGTGCGTAGTACATATATATTGATGACCAGCGTGAAATAGCAACTTAATGCTGCTGTGTTTCTTATGGTGAGTGTAGAGAATCAGAAAACCTTTTTACTGGAAACGAGGCACTTTATCTTATCTTACTTCTTAAGGGTGACAACGCATATCGCCTTGTTTAAGATTCAACGCCATTTTGAATCTTAAACGAGGGTATATATAGTATGTCACTGTAGAATAAGACGGAGCATTGTCTACCAAAATAGGCTGCAGTTCTTCAAAAGCATTTTTTGTAGAAAAAACTTCCAGGCAGAAATATAATAACCCAGAAGTTCGAGTTTCTCCATTTTGCATACGAATCAAATTCGAACCAAATGTAGTTTGAAAAAAAAATTGGCTATAGTTTTTAATTTAGTTTTTTCTGGTCTTAGCTACTAACGAATGTAAGATTTGAAAATAAAATAGAACGCATTTCTATAACTCCTTAATAAGTATCCAATTCCGAAAATACATACATACATAAACACTCACGCCTGTCACCCAGAGGGGTAGGCAGAGACTACGGACTTCCATTTGGCGCGGTCCTGACACACCTCTCTCGCCTCTTTTACATCCATATATCTACGCATACACGCTCGTCGGTTAAGGGTACTCCTAATCTGGCCCATTTTTAATGTATCGCCGATTTGGTCGATAAACCTTCGTCTAGGGCGTCCCTTCCCGACCCTGCCGTTCACTTCAGCAACATAAATTTGCTTTGTCACTCTTTCCTCGTTCATTCTTTCTACGTGACCAAACCACCGAAGCATTCCTTTCTTAATCCTTGTCACAACGTCATCTTGCAAACCACACTTTTCTCTTATTACACTATTTCTCACCCTGTCATTCAGATTCAGCCCTAGCATACTCCTTAAGGAACGCATTTCTCCAGCATTTATTCTACTCTCATGCTTCTTCTGCCAGACCCAACTTTCACTACCATACATTAAAGTGGGTACTAACACAGCACTATGAATTGCCATACGTGCCTTACTTGACACATTCTGACTCCTCACAATAGCGTGTAGAGCCCCATTCACTCTATTTCCTTCGTTCACTCGTCGTTCTATATCCTTATCATATCTACCATCCCTGCTAAATAAACATCCCAAATATACAAACTCATCCACTTGCTCAATCAACTCCCCTTCTATTCTTATTTCACATAAAGTTTTACTTTCTTCTCTTTCAAAAACCATCACTTTCGTCTTACTTGCGTTCACTTTCATACCCCTTTCTTTCAATGACCAATTCATTAAAGTAACCATCATTTGCAACTCGGCCGCCGACGATGCAAATATGACTTGATCATCGGCGTACAAAAGGCATTTGACGGTTGACTCATCCATTCTCAACCCACATTCTTCAACTTTCAAAGTTTGCAAACAACTGTCCATAAATAGGTTAAACAGCCACGGGGAAGCCACACATCCCTGTCTGACACCTTTATGAATGCCAAACCAGTCCGAGTAGACCCCGTTGATCCTGACACAAGCACTAGAGTCCCTATAAAGAGACCTTAATGCCTGTATCAAGCCAGCGCTCAACCCAAATGAGTTCAGTGTTTGCCATAACACGTTCCTGTCCACTCTGTCATAAGCCTTTTCCAAGTCCAAGAACGCACAAAAAACTTTCTGGTTTTTAGCCAAAAATTTCTCCGCAATCATGCGCATGGAAAAGACTTGATCCGTACACCCCATCCCCTTTCTAAATCCAGCTTGCACATCCCAAATTTTTCCATCAGTTTCTTCCATAACTCTTTCAATTAACACCTTAGCATACAGTTTACCCACAATGCTAAGCAAGCTGATACCACGGTAGTTTTTACAGTCCTGCTGCGACCCCTTTCCCTTATATATTGGGACTATAACGGCTTTGCACCAGTCTCCGCAATTCCGAAAACTTATTGATCAAACTATTGATGATAAACAACTTACACTGCTAACACAAGCAATATGCTGTTAAGCTTGTTGGACTAGTTAAAGAGCATATTACCAATGTTAATGGCATTACTAGTATTTTTTCTTTAGCCTAGGACTGTACATTTAAGAATTTCTCGGGGAAGGCCTCTGTCCAGCAGCGGATTTGTGAAAGGCTGTAATGATGATGACGACGATGACAAAACCATAACTTACCAAGACACATATTTATTGGCGATGGTACACAGCATGACGAGAATAGAGATGGCGTAGAAGAAGCAGTCGCGGCACAGCGGCCACCAGTTGAGGTGCGACACGGTGCCGGCGCACAGCGCGCACACCGAGATCACGAACATGATGTTGAACACCGCCGACCCGATCACGCCCGACACGCCTGCCGCAAGTAAACGTTTTTCACCTCTTTTTTCTTGATGTGGTAACTTATTTAGAATCGTTGTGATGAGAAACTCGATAAAACGAAAAAGCGACACTAAATAAAGACAAATATATACATCTATAGGACTTAACCAGCGAGACAATAAGATACATAGAATACGCGTATCGATTATGCGCTCCAAGAGGTCGAACATTGGCGCGCGTTCCAGCCGCATGTAATAGATACCGCCTTGAAACGCGCGCTAAATTGTTCGTTTGAATGCTCAAACGTGGAGCGGACAGTTCCACCTGGTGTCGGTTTTTTACCGCGTATCAAAGCAGTTCAGAGTAGGCGCGCGCGTCGGTTGGGATGGTTGTTTTCATCATTCGTGTGTTCGTTGCGTTCCTAGCTATGGATAACCAAAGTTGCCGTAAATTGATAAAATTATAATTATATATAATTGAAGGTAGCCGGGCTAACTATGACAGCAGGACGTCAAACAACTCAGTCCCCCGTGACCACGGGTGCTGGAAAGCACCCGAAACGTCGGGAATATAAAAATAAGTTAAAAATAAGTTAATATACGCGATAAAATCCGTAAAATTAGTTTTATTTAAAAATGTGTAGTGTTCGCGTAAATATAAGAAATCAAAATTATATGGTTCAAAAACCTGCTGCGGCATAACAAAAATCGTTTTTTAACCGAATTCAAAAAGGAGGAGGTACTTAATTTGACCGTTTGCTTTTTTATGTGTGTTACCTCATAACTTTTTTTCTAGGTGAACCGATTTTGATGATGATTTTTAATTGAAAGCTGGTATCGTATACATTTGATCGAAGTCTGACCAGTAGTATTTGAGTTATCTTTATTAATATATATTTAAGTCAGTTGTACAAAATGTTTAATTTTACCACTTGTTATTATCATAATAAAGCGCTCAGAAAAGATGCATGGAGAGAACTATGAAAATGGCAGCTGCTCGTACACTACCGACATTCATGTTGAACGGTCAAACACTGGAACAGCTGCCGCGCGCGCCAAGAGCGTTTAGTTGATACACTTGGAACATTTGGAGCGCGTTCCGCGGAACGCACTTGTCGGCGCCGTTATTCATGGCATGCGCGCCAGGAGCGCGTAATCGATACGCGGCTAAGAGTCGTTGACATTTGAAACTCGATGAAACGAAAAAGCAATACTAAAAAGAGAGCAACATATACATCTATAGGATTTAACCTGCTAGAGAACGAGATAGAATACAGTAAAAGAATCCTTGCGCTTTGAAGCCCGAAGAATCAAATAAAAACCAGCCAAGTTCGAGTCGAACTCGCGCATGAAGGGTTCCGTACCATCGTGAAACACGTTTTTGATTTATATAACACTAAAATTTAGGCTCTACAATCTATATGTCTAGAAATAAGGATTATAACAATCTAAAACAACAAAATTATTATATTAAATAAATGATTTGCCATGAGATAATTTTATTTTATATATCATTTCATTTGAAGGTTTCAGTTCTACCGCGTGTGATCTGCACACATGTTTTTTTTTTAATTTAAAATTAATCAACTCGTTAAACAAATACGTTTTGTAGAAGAGTGGATCTCCTCCTATAAAACATTAAGAACTCACCTATATCATCCTGAGCGCAAAATACACCGATGACAACAGTGGCCAGCTCAGGAGCAGAGCTGCCAGCCGCCATGAACGTGGCGCCGGCCACGTCTGGCGCTAGTTTTAACTCTGTAAAGGATAATTACTATTATAAAGCCATTACTAATATATTATTATAAGAAAATGCTGTGTCCAATAGACATCTACATTTATCCTCAATTAAGAATGACACTGAACCAGTAAAAAAGGTTTACTGTTTTCGTCACTCAAGTCGAGCACAGATATAGGCATGTAAGAACCATAGCATCGATCTACTGTTACCATGAGTAAGTTGATGCTATGGTTCGGTGTGGAAGTGGACTGGGTGCCCCTTTGTCACTCTTACTTGTGATTTTTGATTGAAGTCTCTTCAATTACCATTATAAATTAAATATTTGTAGACAAACCTTCGCAGATTCTGTCAAGACTGCACACGAAGTACTCGTCGCAGACAATCGCAAGCCCAATGAATGTGAACATTGCCACTAGGATATGAATTATCAGACCTCCGTGTTTGCGCGCATTTTGTCCCATGAGCGGATGCGGAAACTGGAAAATAGTGAATAACATTTATAAATTTACTGTTGTCGGTATTGATGTAATAGAATTTAATATATACAGGATTATTTTGCAATAACCCGCCAAATTTGCAGAGGAGGTTCAGAATAGATAACAAAGCAAATGGTGAAAAAAAAAATAAACAAGAAAAAAAAACTCAAACATTTTATCCTTATTATCCTTTGTATTGAAAATGTATGGAAATGCATTATTTTAATTGCTTGTCATTCATAAATATGCAGCGCCTAGCATTTTATACGCACGCACACTTTCGTAAGGGAGTGTTGAGTTCCGAAGCAATTGTCGGTGGCATTCGGCCACAGAGTAAAGAGTAAGGAACAGAGGGGAAGCTTCTTAACAACGTCGAAAATGTATACCTATTCTGATAGGGTTGTCACATGACGCATGTGAAAAATTTAAGGAAAAAATAAAAATATTGTATAGCTTAAGACAACATATGTATTAATTATAACTTATATTAATGTAACAACATATCTATTAATTGTTCGAAATCCAGAGTGTTGATGTAAGTGGTGGTGGTGGTAGTAATGGTTGTGATGGTGGTCGTGGGCAGTGGCGGTGGTAGTGGTGGTGGTGTTGATGGAGCCACTGTTGGTTCATTGTCTACTACAACTACCTACGATACTACCACCTCCACCACCACTGACACCATCAGCAAAACTATCGACCAACACCAGAACCACTTCCACCAACACCAATCCCACCACCCCCACCAATGTCTGGCGGTTGTATTTCAATCATAATGCAGTGGTATTTACTACTGGGGTCGCGACACGCAAAAAGTAGCTTATGTCCTTCACAAGGAAGCAACCTACCTCTAAAGTGGGTGGGTAGGATATCCTGCCGTGTACGGCACTGTCAAGGTTAGACTGACTAACGTTTCAAGTAGGTGAGACCGACTTCATCACTCGGTGACGTACCTGTCTAACACATTCTCACTTACTTATCAATGTTATTACCTAGTTTTATTGTATATTATTAAATACGTAAAACGGTACTTACTTCACTTGATTTCTCGGGTACAAAAAAAAAAGGAAATATCCTTATTTTCTCTAGAATTATTCATGCATACCGTACAACTATTAGGCATTTTCGCTTATACAGAACACTTATTATTTACCCATATAAATTTATAATAACTTAATTCTTAATTATTTTAATTAAAATACTTAAATCTAATTATTTAATAATTGCAAAAAAACTTAATAAATTAATTGATGTATAAAATTTCGAAATATTGTGAGTCTATTTATTTAAATGCGTACGATTAACAAACAGCCCTTTCATGGATACTCTGACTGAGCCGGCGCAAACCGGTTTGTACCCCGACGGAGCGTCGGTGAACCTGCCGGTGAGAGCTCACGCACACATCTCTGCGCTATGTATGGGTATGTTCGTAGCGAGCCGTTTGTATGTAGCTTCCCCTCTGGTCGGTTTCTTTACGCATGTGATTCGACGCTCGCGATCGGTTACAAATTTAGGTATCTAATAGTTGTTTTGAAGCGGTAAAAAGAAACGCGTCTCCCCGGCTCCCCGCTTTTTCCCTTCCAATACACCGCTGGGTACGTTCACCCGGCCGGCCGATTCCCGACCGTGTTGACGTGACCGTGACCTCATTAAGTACAGAGTGTCCAATTTTTAAATTTTCGTAGGTAGTATTACTTATCACACCCAGTACTACGTCTGGAAACTACTGAATTCTTGGTATTACCCATTTTATTACCAACGTGTGCAAGCACTGAATAATAACGATGGTCTACCTCAAAAACACTTGTGAATGGTTGTTCTCAAAAATTGATAATACTAACATTATGTGGACTGGCGAAGCCCTATTTACGCGTGTAGGGCTTTATAATAGTTGCAACGAACATTAATGGGCAGTATTTGCATACTCTATTAAAGATAGTTATCATCAAGTGCGATTTAGTATAAATGTTTGGACAGGAATTATTGATAACACAATTTTGGGCCCGTACTTAATTGAAATACGATTAATGGGTGGTAATTATTTGGACGTGTTACAAGGTGTTATTCAAGATTTCCTGGACGATATATCCCTAGTGTTACTGAATAATTTTTATTTCCAACACATCGGTGCTCCACCTCACTATTCAAGAGAAGTGCGATGATTATTTACGAAGATAGGTGTATTGGGCGTGGTGGCCCTATAACATGGCTTGCAAGGTCACCGGACCTTACACCACGACTTTTATTTATGGGGTGAAATAGAGACAAGTTCACGTCGAAGAGGTCCAAAGCTATGACGACCTCCGCAGCTAAATAATTGCTATACTCACGGAAGTGAAAAGTACTCAGATATATGTAATTAATGTGAAAAATAATTTAAGGAAACGGATTTTTAAATACGCCATAATAAAAATAGCCATCGGTTACGTCTGTAACACAACAATGTACAACAACATACAATTTATGTCAATTTTGAATTATTGAATAATATGTATATTGAACAGCGTACGCGCCGACGCGATATTCGTGTCGCTTGAGGTCGGCAATGCTCGGCACACTGTCCTCGTAGTAGTGTACGTTAAGCATCGATAGACTATCGATGGTATCGATAGTAAATGGCTATCGACACCTATCGTTTTTAACTATCGATCGATTGTTTACTCGAGTACTACTTTTACATCCCTAGAGTCGAGGTATGCATGTATGTAGATTATTCCCCGGCCATAGTGATAAAGGCGTAGACATTGAGATTGTTCTCTATGGTAGGGGAATTACTGTGCGTATATCATTCATTCGGAGGCGTAGACATTGAGATTCTTCTCTATGGTAGGGGAACTACCGTGCGTATTTTTTTTTATAGGATCGGGTGACAAACGAGCACACAGTCCACCTGATTGTAAGTGGTTACTGTGACCCATAGACATCTACATCTATCCTCAATAAAGACTCAAGATGCAGATGCGTTGTCACCCGTGAGGACTAAGATGGAATGCCTCTTTGACAGTAAAAAGGGTCTCCGGTTCTCTACACTCACCATACGAAACAAAGCAGCGTTAAGCTGCTATTTTACGCTGGTTTTCTGTGAGAGCGTGGTCCTTCCCCGGTCGAGCCGACCTATTCGTGCTACAACCATAATATAGCTGCAGCATGGCTCTACCACGTAAAAAAGTATATCATTCATTTACAAGACAAAAGTCAGTCAGTCAGTTTTTTTATTGTGGATGTTTGAAGTTGAGTGGAGTAACAAACAATTTATAATTAAACAATAAGATATGAGTAGTAAGTCACGTGTGTGGGATTACTTCAAAAAGACTGATGAAAAGATTGTCAAGTGTTCTTTGTATAAAAGAGAGTTTAAACTAAGTGGAAATACTACGAACTTGATCGATCATATGAAGAGAAAACATAATGAGGTATCGATGTGGTCATCCACTGTTTCTGTTACTCAAGACGTAGATACCACTGAACAAAATGAGCAAATGGGCCCAAGCCCTAAAAAGAGAAAGACGCTAAAAATTATTTTGATAGAAGTAGTAAATATCCAGTTGGGAAAACAAAGCAAAATTTGGATAACAAATACGTGCGCATGATTGCTGTTGACATGGATCCTTTGCTACAAAGAGAACATGAAGGATTTCGGGATTTTGTAAATGCTCTCGATAGTAGATATGAAATTCCTGATACAACAACATTGACGAAGAAATTACTGCCGGAATATTATGAAAACGTGAAACAGAAGCGTCATAGCATTATCGAAAGCAGAACATGTTAGTGTGACTACTGATTTATGGACATCAATTGCAAATGAAAGCATCCTTTTAGTTACTTGTCATTTCTTTCACAACGAAAAATTAATCGCACCATTATTGGAAGACGTGAAGATGGAAGGAAGTTACAACGCAGAAAATATGTAAGTATTTTTAAATTTCATTGCCTCAGACATCAGACATAAACAATATTATTATTGTTTTCAGGTGTTGGATGCTACTCTCTCAAAATGTGGTATCAGTACAAACATGAAGCAATAACGACTGATAATGCTCAAGCAATGATTAACGCCGCAGCCAAACTGAACATACGACATATACCCTGCTTCGTGCACACACTAAACCTGACGGTGACAGATTCGTTTACAAAACGCATTTGCTTAGACCAGATTCTGAAAAAATGTAAATCGATTGTGCCATTTTTCAAGATGAGTACTCTAGCTGGCGATAAATTACGGGCTATTCAACGTGAATTAAATAAAGCAGAACTGAAAGTGATCCAGGAAGTACCCACCCGCTGGAACAGTGCATACCACATGCTGCAAAGACTTGTTACAATGAAGACAGAATTAACTCTCGCACTTAATGCATGTAATCGGGCTCCACCAGGAGTCAATGCTGACGAATACCTAATTATTCAAGAAACAATTCAGATTCTGAAACCTTTCGATCTAGCTACGTCAAAATTTTCCGGAGAAAGCTATATAACATTATCACTGATTACACCATTGATTCGTGGAATAAATACGAAATTAGTAGAAGTTGAATCTCAAATTGTTACTGAAAGCGGAAAGAAAGTACTAAGTCCCTATGAAAATACGACACCTGTTGTACTTGCTACAATATTGGAACCCCGATTTAAGAAGAAGGGGTTCAACACAAGTGACGACGAGAAGCGAGTTGGTCAGTGGCTGGAAAAGGCCTACGCTAGCCATTTAACTAAAGAACGCTTGGCTGTAGAAGAAACGCAACCAACACCATCCACGTCTTCAGGAACATCTAATGACCTGTTGGGATTCCTAGACGTTCCGGGCGTATTGACCCCTTTTAGTAACTCATTGGTAGATGTCAGGCAATATCTCGAGAAGCCAGTAATTGACAGAAATGGGTGTCCTATAACATACTGGAAATATCTGTATTCCAGCATCTTCTGTGCCTTCGGAACGGATCTTTTCTAAGGTCGGACAAATTTTAACCGAACGCAGAAATAGGTTAAAATAATAATAATAATAATAA